CAATTAAAGGCTCCCCTTTACAATTACCCCTGGCACCCAAATTTACCTACTACTCCCTCCATAACATTTTTACCCACTTTAGCATTAAAATCCCCAACCACCCATTACTCTCACACTTGATTCAAAACCCCCACGCATTCACTCAACATTTCCCAAAATCTCTCTCTCTCCTCTACACTTCTCTCTTCTCCAGTGCATACACGCTTATTATAACCCACTTTTCACATCCAATCTTTATTTTACTCCACATAATCCTTGAATTAATACATTTATACTCCCTCTTTCCTGCCATAGCTTATCCTTCAACATTATTGCTACTCCTTCTTTAGCTCTAACTCTATTTGAAACCCCTGACCTAATCCCATTTTTCCTCTCCACTGAAACTCTCCCACCCCCTTCAGCTTTGTTTCACTTAAAGCCAGGACATCCAGCTTCTTCTCATTCATAACATCCACAATCATCTCTTTCTTATCATCTGCACAACATCCACGCACATTCAGACTTCCCACTTTGACAATTTTCTTCTTCTTATTCTTTTTAGTAATCTTTACAGGAAAAAGGGGTTACTAGCCCATTGTTCCCGGCATTTTAGTTGACTTTTACAACACGCATGGCTTACGGAGGAAAGATTCTTATTCCACTTCCCCATGGATATAAAAGGAAAATTAATAAGACCAAGAACTATTAAGATAAAATCAAAGAAAACTCAGATGAGTGTGTATAAAAAATGTGTACATGTATGTGTAGTGTGACCTAAGTGTAAGTAGAAGTAGCAAGACATGCCTGTAATCTTGCATATTTATGAGACAGACAAAAGACATCAGCAATCCTACCATCATGTAAAACAATCACAGGCTTCGTTTTACACTCACTTGGCAGGACGGTAGTACCTCCCTGGGTGGTTGCTGTCTACCAACCTACTACCTATAAATATATATATATATATAATATATAATATATATATATATATATTATATATTAAATATATATATTATATATATATATATATATATATATATATATATATATATATATATTTTTTTTTTTTTTTCAAAAAGTTGGCCATCTCCCACCAAGGCAGGGTGACCCAAAAAAGAAAGAAAATCCCCAAAAAGAAAATGCTTTCATCATCATTCAACACTATCACCACACTCACACATAATCACTGTTTTTGCAGAGGTGCTCAGAATACAACAGTTTAGAAGCATATACGTATAAAGATACACAACATATCCCTCCAAACTGCCAATATCCCAAACCCCTCCTTTAAAGTGCAAGCATTGTACTTCCCATTTCCAGGACTCAAGTCTGACTATATGAAAATAACCGGTTTCCCTGAATCCCTTCACTAAATATACCCTGCTCACACTCCAACAGATCGTCAGGTCCCAAGTACCATTCGTCTCCATTCACTCCTATCTAACACCTCACGCACGCTTGCTGGAAGTCCAAGCCCCTTGCCCACAAAACCTCCTTTACCCCCTTTTCCATGTCATTCTACTTTGATCCATTCTCTCTAAATGACCAAACCCCCTCAACAGCCCCTCTTCTGCCCTCTGACTAATACTTTTATTAACTCCACACCTCTTCCTAATTTCCACATCTCCGAATTTTCTGCATAATATTTACACCACACATTGCCCTTAGACAGGACATCTCCACTGCCTCCAACCGTCTCCTCGCTGCTGCATTTACCACCGAAGCTTCACACCCATATAAGAGTGTTGGTACTACTATACTTTCAATACATTCCCTTCTTTGCCTCCATAGATAACGTTTTTTGACTCCACATATACCTCAATGCACCACTCACCTTTTTTCCCTCATCAATTCTATGATTAACCTCATCCTTCATAAATCCATCCGCCGACACGTCAACTCCCAAGTATCTGAAAACATTTACTTCTTCCATACTCTTCCTCCCCAATTTGATATCCAATTTTTCTTTATCTAAATCATTTGATACCCTCATTACCTTACCCTTTTCTATGTTCACTTTCAACTTTCTACCTTTACACACATTCCCAAACTCATCCACTAACCTTCGCAAATTTTTCTTTAGAATCTCTCATAAGCACAGTAAAAGTAACTGTGTTAATTCCCATTTTAAATTTGATTCCCCATAATTTAATCCCACCCCTCTCCCGAACACCCTAGCATTTACTTCTTTTACAACCCCATATATTAAACAACCATGGTGACATTACACATCCCTGTCTAAGACCTACTTTTACCGGGAAGTAGTCTCCCTCTTCTACACACCCTAACCTGAGCCTCACTATCCTCATAAAAACCCTTTACAGCATTTAGTAACTTACCACCTATTCCATATACTTGCAACATCTGCCCCATTGCTCCCCTATCCACTCTATCATATGCCTTTTTCTAAATCCATAAATGCAATAAAAACTTCCCTACCTTTATCTAAATACTGTTCACATATATGCTTCAATGTAAACACTTGATCTACACATCCCCTACCCACTCTGAAACCTCCTTGCTCATCCGCAATCCTACATCTGTCTTACCTCTAATTCTTTCAATTATAACTCTAACCGTATACTTTTCCTGTATACTCAGTAAACTTATTCCTCTATAATTTTTACAATCTCTTTGTCCCCTTTCCCTTTATATAAAGGGACTATACATGCTCTCCGCCAATCCCTAGGTACCTTCCCCTCTTTCATACATTTATTAAACAAAAGTACCAACCACTCCAACACTATATCCCCCCTGCTTTTAACATTTCTGTCATGATCCCATCAGTTCCAGCTGCTTTTACCCCCTTTCATTTTACGTAATGCCTCACGTACCTCCCCCACACTTACATTCTGCTCTTCTTCACTCCTAAAAGATGGTATACCTCCCTGACCAGTGCATGAAGTTACTGCCTCTGTTTCTTCCTTAACATTTAAAAGTTCCTCAAAATATTCTCGCCATCTACCTAATACCTCCATCTCCCCATCTACTAACTCCCCTACTCTGTTTTTAACTGACAAATCCATACTTTCCCTAGGCTTTTTTAACTTTTTTAACTCACTCCAAAATTTTTTTCTTATTTTCATTAAAATTTCTTGACAGTACCTCTCCCACTCTATCATCTGCTCTCCTTTTGCACTCTCTCACCACTCTCTACCTTTCTTTTACTCTCCATATACTCTGCTCTTCTTATAACACTTCTGCTTTGTAAAAACCTCTCATAAGCTACCTTTTTCTCTTATCACACCCTTTTACTTCATCATTCCACCATCACTCTCCTCTTTCCTCCTGCCCCACCTCCTATAACCACAAACTTCTGCCCCACATTCTAATACTGCATTTTTAAAACTATTCCAACCCTCTTCAACCCCCCCACTACTCATCTTTGCACTAGCCCACCTTTCTGCCAATAGTCGCTTATATCTCACCCAAACTTCCTCCTCCCTTAGTTTATACACTTTCACTTCCCTCCTACTTGTTGTTGCCACCTTCCTCTTGTCCCATCTACCTCTTACTCTAACTGTAGCTACAACTAAATAATGATCCGATATATCAGTTGCCCCTCTATAAACATGTACATCCTGGAGCCTCCCCATTAACCTTTTATCTACCAATGCATAATCTAGTGAGTGAATGGAGACAAATGGTTTTTAATACTTGACGTGCTGTTGGAGTGTGAGCAAAGTAACATTTATGAAGGGATTCAGGGAAACCGGCAGGCCGGACTCGAGTCCTGGAGATGGGAAGTACAGTGCCTGCACTCTGAAGGAGGGGTGTTAATGTTGCAGTTTAAAAACTGTAGTGTAAAGCACCCTTCTGGCAAGACAGTGATGGAGTGAATGATGGTGAAAGTTTTTCTTTTTCGGGCCACCCTGCCTTGGTGGGAATCGGCCAGTGTGATAAAAAAAAAAAAAAATAACAATCTAATAAACTACTTTCATTATGTGCTACATCGTACCTTGTATATTTATTTATCCTCTTTTTCATAAAATATGTATTACTTATTACCAAATCTCTTTCTACACATAGCTCAATTAAAGGCTCCCCATTTACATTTTCCCTTGGCACCCCAAATTTACCTACTACTACCTCCACAACATTTTTACCCACTTTAGCATTGAAATCCCCAACCACAAGTACTCTCACACTTGGTTCAAAACTCTCCACGCATTTACTCAACATTTCCCAAAATCTCTCTCCTCTACACTTCTCTCTTCTCCAGGTGCATATACGCTTACTATAACCCACTTTTCACATCCAACCTTTATTTTACTCCACATAATCCTTGAATTAATACATTTATAATCCCTCTTTTCCTGCCATATCTTATCCTTCAACATTATTGCTACTCCTTCTTTAGCTCTAACTATTTGAAACCCCCTGACCTAATCTCATTTATTCCTCTCCACTGAAACTCAACAACCGACCAGGGAGGTACTACCGTCCTGCCAAATGAGTGTAAAACGAAAGCCTGTAACTGTTTTACATGATGGTAGGATTGCTGGTGTCCATTTTTCTGTCTTAAACATGCAAGGTTTCAGGTATGTCTTGCTACTTCTACTTACACTTAGGTCACACTACACATACATGTACATACAAGCATATATATATATATACACACACCACTCTGGGTTTTCTTCTATTTTCTTACTAGTTCTTGTTCTTGTTTATTTCCTCCATGGGGAAGTGGAACAGAATTCTTCCTCCGTAAGCTATGCATGTTGTAAGAGGCGACTAAAATGCCAGGAGCAAGAGGCTAGTAACCCCTTCTCCTGTATAAATTACTAAATTTAAAAAGAGAAACTTTCGTTTTTCTCTTTGGGCCACCCTGCCTTGGTGGGATACGGCCGGTTTGTTGAGAAAAAAAAATATATATATGTATCTTTGAAGTTAATACCAATGCATTGGACACTAGATATTTATTCCATTCACAGTACATTTAATTATGTAACCAAAACCTCTATTTGAGAGAAGAGTTTAGATGAAACTTTTTATGAAAGTGTCTGCAAAAATAGACTGTCTACCATAAAGATTTTTATTTACATATTTTTTTGCACTTTTACTGAATAGTACAGGTAAGCAATGTTTCTTTTAAATACGTTCTTAGAAGTACACTACCTCAATATACAATTGCACGTATCGTACATTTATGTTATAATAAAGATAACTTTCTTCATTAAGATATAAATATTTTGCCACATTAACAATACCGTTTAATACCTGTACTTAAAGGTTGAGAATCTCAAGCCTCAGTTTCCTTTAAATATATACTGTATTTTTTTATATAAAAAAAATAAGTAAATCTTTCTTGTACCAACACTGGCTAACACTAAATACACTGTGACAATATATTGCATGTAAAAATCATAAAATTAAATATATTTATTTTGACATTTTAGTATACAAATAAATTATAGAACAATATTCTAATACTGTTAACCAATTCATACAAAACTGAGTATATCATCATACACCAATACAGCAAATTGCATATCTCACAAATTACAGAATCCCTGCTCTACATGCTACTTTAACACATTATGGAAGGCTTGCTTACTTCTTTGAGTATTTAGTAATGAATGGAAGCATTTTCCAAACAGTTTCACTACAATACCAGAGCCAAAATATGGGAGCAACAATGGGTAGGCACTAATTTATAATCCTTGATGCAAATGCTTAAAAAGACAATTGTTAGTGTCTTGGTCTATAAAGTAAATATACATGAAAAAAAAAAAAAATTCAAGCAGATTATACCAAATTAATTTATCATTAATCAGCCGAGTGTTGCATATTATAGTTATTTTAACTTAACTATTGCAAGTATAATTCAGAAATGATACCAAGTGAAATTATATCTTTCTATGTCCCTTATTATTATTTTGATATTCAAAAAGAAATGCCAACTCATTTTGATATATCTAATATTCTTGCAACCATGATTGAGATTTTATCCCATGTATTTTAAAAATTGTCAAAATAAAAAAATAACTTCTGGGATAAAACTAGCTGTACTGTAAGCTGCTTATAAAAATAAAACAAATGAAAAGTTTGACAACAGAAGTATTTCTGAATTTAAAAAATATACAGTATTAAAAATGTTCCCTGCCTATTTGTTTATAGTTAACATTAGCACTGTTTGCCTTTAATGACTTTGCCCTCTGGTTTATCATCAGGGAAGGCTTCACGAGGTGGCACAAGAGAGAGCATCATAAGGTGACGAGAGAAACACTTGGATGCTCTAAACTTATCATCTGTTCCATGAAGCAAATCCAAAACACCCAATACTCCATAGCACTGGTTAAATCTGAAAAGCAAGATATTTTTTTAATGGTTTATTATTATTTTTTTAACACACTGATTGTCTACCATTGGAGTAACCCCCCCCCCCCCCCAAAAAAAAAAAAATACAGCCAGGGGTCATTGGTTCGAGCCTCAGAAGAAAGTCCATGGAAAAGTGGAATAATTATCTTTCCTCTGTAAGCCATGCACATCATAAAAGCCAGTAGTAATGGGCTAGTAATACCTTCTCTTGAATAAATTACTAAAAATAAGAAAACTATTAAACTATTATTAATTATGATCATGTATCCATGGAAATCCTCAACCCATGTAGTCATTAAGCACCACTGCGGCATGCTAAGAGTACGTTGCATTTTATTTGGCATATGTCTCACACCCACATAGGTATGTCTCCTTACCAGTGAACCAAGTGCTAAGGGTTTAACAAGCAGGGGCCCCATCATTTGTCATAGCACAGTTGTGATCCTTGAAGTAAAGTCTCCCAACATTATCACTCCTAAGGCAATGGGTGTCAAGTGGTTTCGGTCCAAGTTGAACTGAAAAGTTGTCATAAGCTTCTTTCTCCTATGCCCTGGTTATTTGTGTACTGCTCCAATCATGGTATTGGGTCTTTTTGTTCTTTAAAGATGTAACATTTGCTTCTGTATAAAGGCTCTCAACCAGGGAGAAACAAAAAGAAACTAGACGAACACAACCCTTGATGAATGGGATTAGGTTTAGAAAGAGTTGCAGTAAAGCCTGCAGAATATATATAGCTGGTCACCATAATCCAATTATGGTAAGATTAGAGCAGAATGGGGATGAAGAGTAGTTCTATCAACCACCCCCCCCACACACCCCTCAAAGAAAGAAAGGCAAGAGTTTTAAGGGGTTCAGCCAACTATGGCAAGTTGCTTTCAGGGAGATTATGCTAGGTATCTATGACAACCAGTTATTGAACAAAAGGCCGAAAAGCTTTACTATCTTGTTCAGGAATACAGGAACCTCAGATATAATGCAGTATTAGGGAAGACAGCATGTTGTAAAAGTAATCTGATGTGTCTTAGTAACAAAAATTTAAACTCATGAGTAGTGGGCCATTGGGAAACGGTCTATAGCATCCTGGAGAGAAGCTGTACTAGGCGAGTTAACGCCTGCACAATTTATGGCAAAATCATCGCCATAAAGTGACTACCAAATATCAGATGGGAGAACAGAGGCAAGATCACTGATGGCAAGTAGAAAAACAGTGGTGCTAAGAAACTCCAGATCTGGAGGAAAGAAAATAGGGACAGAAATTAAACCCCCGAAATTACAAATACAGTGGTCCCTCGTTTATCGTAATTAATCCGTTCCTGGAAGTGTGACTATCATCGAAATTGACGATTTTTTTAATCCATTTTCCCCATAAATAATGATGTAAATACAATTAATCCGTTCCAGACATCCAGAAGTATTAAAACAAAAAAATTTTTTTGCATGAAATATAGATGTAGTACATACACAATACAATGGGACATGATGAATGAAACATTAACAGCATAACACTTACCTTTATTACCAAGTCTTCTTAAGTGTACGGAAGACTGGAGGAGGAGGAGAGATTGGATTAGTTACTGTTTGGAAGGAAAATCCCCTTCCATCAAGACCTCAGGTACCAAGTGCTTTTCTGGGGTCACTTCTCTTCTGTTTCTTAATGCCACTAGGACCAGCTTGAGAGTCAGTGTACACCTGTGGTACTAAATACTTGTCCAGAGAGCTGTTTCTGGCATCTTTTTAAAACTTCCCTAAAATGGGCCAAGACTGTCACTGTACAAGTAGCCAATATGGCTTGCAACAGCCTTGTCAGGGTGATGTTTCTCCATAAATCTTTCCATCCTACCCCACATTTCAAAAATCTCCTTAATTTCTGAAGAAGGCAACTTCTTCCATCTCTCTTCCTCCTCCTCTGCAGCAATATTCTGAGCTGCAGTCTGTTGCTGTTCCTGCTGAAGCTCTTGCAGCTCCTCAGCGGTTAGCTCTTCATTGTGGTCCTCCAACTCTTCCACATCCTCCAAACTCACATCCAACCCCATGGAACTCCCCAATGCCACAATAGATTTCACAACTGTCATAGGCTCATCAAGGTCAGTCCCAAACCCTTCAAAATCCCTCTTGTGGACACAATCTAGCCACAGAATTCAAAGTCCTGGTAGTCACTCCCTCCCAAGCCTTACCTATAAGACTTATGCAATGGAGGATACTGAAATGATCTTTCAAAAACTCTTAGGGTCAAGTGAGTGTCTGAGGTCACATTAAAGCACCTTTGAAACACTGCTTTGGTGTAGAGTTTTTTAAAGTTTGAAATGACCTGCTGGTCCATGGGCTAGAGGAGAGGAGTGGTATTAGGGGGGCAAGAACTTTACTGTTATGAACTCAAATTCTTCCAGAATTAGGTCATCCAAGTTTGGAGGATGAGCAGGTGCATTGTCCATTAGCAGGAGGCACTTGAGATCCAATTTCTTTTCCAAGAGGTAATTCTTCACACTGGGGCCAAACCACTTCATTGAACCACTCGACAAAAATTTCCCTAGTGGCCCATGCCTTATTAGCTTTCCAATACACACAATTTACTCTTCATGACATTGTTTTTCCTGAACACTGGGATTTTCAGAATGGTACACTAGTAACAGCTTCACTTAGAAATCTCCACTAGCATTAGCACAGAACATGAGCATCAGCCTTTCATAGGCTTGTGTCCTAGCAGTCCCTTTTCCTCCTGAGTAATGTAGGTCCTCTTTGGCATTTTCTTCCAAAAGAGGCCTGTTTCGTCACAACTGAACACTTACTCAGGTTTCAATCCTTCAGCCTCCATGTACTCCTTTAATTCACTTACGAAATTTGTGGCTGAAATTTTGTCCGAACTGGCAGCTTCGCCATGCCTTATCACACTGTATGCCACTACGGTTCTTAAATCTCTCAAACCAGCCTTTTCTGGCCTTAAATTCACAAATATCAGTACTTGTTGCAGGCAATTTCTTTATGAGATCGTCACGCAACTGCCTAGCCTTTTCACAAATAATCGACTGCATAAAACTATCTCCTGCTAATTGTTTCTCGTTTATCCACACCAATAATAACTTCTCAATATCTTCGAGTACTGGTGATCTCATTTTTGTCAGCATATTTACCCCTTTCCCAACAACAGCTTCCTTGATTTCCTTTTTCTTGGCCATGATGGAAGCTATGGTTGTATGGGGTTTGTTATACATCCTGGCCAGTTCAGCCACACTTATGCCACTTTCATATTGTTCAATGTTTTTTTCTTGAATTCAATCGTATTTCTAGGAGCTTTCTTTGGAGCCGTGGTAGCTTATTTAGCAGTTGCAAGCACTAAAATGAATGAAATATTATGAAATATTTCATATGAGCAAGTGAGGGGACTGTCACTCACTGGTAAACAATGGCACACTGGCTGAGAATGGAGGGTGAGGCGGCTTGGAGCCATGTGTATGCGTCCCGGACGAATGACGATTTGTGAGCCAATGTTTTGATGAAAATAATGTTACGATTTTTGAAAATTACGACTATCGAGTCTTACAACTATCGAGAGATCACTGTATATAATTAATCATCCTCTCCAAAATTGATGTTACTGCTCTCTTGGAGAAATCCCTTAGTCTTGATGCCAACGGGCTCAATCTAAGGAATCAAATCTGTTCTCCCATACTCCAAGCATTATCAATTACAGGTTCATGCTTCCAAGAATAACTGATGCAGTAAAGGTCTACCCTTCATTGTTGCACCAATTTCCCCTTCTCTAGATCAACTCTTAGGTTGTGGTTGAAAGGAATAATATACAATGTATTGTATACAATCAATACTGAAAATTTGAGGTTACACATTACTTAACACAATGAGAAAGTCCCATTAATGTAAATGTGAAGGCAAATCCATCAGTAGCTCTGAAAACAGCATTGTTTAAATCTGCATTATGGTTAAACACTGAGAAAACTGCATTCATGACTTTTGTCATAAAAAAAAAAAAAAAAAAAAGCAGACACTTACTTGAGATGATGGAAATCGTGAGCCTCAGGCGATGGGAAGAATGGCAGATGGTAACCACTGTGAGCATTTAAGGTGCTGAGCAGAGCAAGACTGACCCACAGCCATATAGTTGCTACATGGGAACCCATCACAAGTGGCCCAAGAAAAACGGGAGCCATATTGGAGAACATGTGCTCCAATGGGTGGGCATATATGGCTGTGATTGCAATGGGACTTTGCCACTCGTGATGTAGCTTATGGAAGTGTTTATACAGCAAACGATGGTGGAAAAGCCTGCAAGGTGAAGCACAAACTTTATACCAACATCTCAACATAAACTTGTTTATGTCAACCTTCAAAATAAAAAGTTTTTTCTTGCCAACATTAAATTAACCCTTCGACTGTTTTGGTTGTATATATACGTCTTACGAGCCAGTGTTTTGGATGTACATGTATATATACTCAATAATTCTAGCGGCTTCAAATCAAGCAGGAGAAAGCTGGTAGGCCCACATGTGAGAGAATGGGTCTGTGCGGTCAGTGTGCACCACAAAAAAAATCCTGCAGCACGCAGTGCATAATGAGAAAAAAAAAACGGAGTTTTTTTGGATTAAAATGCCGAATTTGAGGTGTATTTTAGTGTAGTATTTATCGTTGTGCTCTCGTTTTCATGGTCTCATGTGATAAAATGGGAAGCATATTACAGAAATCAAGATGATTTTGCTTAGTTTCACGATGAAAATGACCTTGAAATTGAGCTCAAAGTAGCGGAAATGTTCGATTTTTACCAATGTTCAGGAGTAAGCAGATCACACCACACGTCCAATACACGTCAACTGGGGAATCTAATATTCTTTCACTAGTGCACATATGTTATTTATACCATTTTTATTATAATAATGCAGTAGTCTGCCTAACAGTAAATTTTGTATTTATTTTGCATGAATAAAAAATCAAAATAGAAAGCAATAGTAATAAGAGGGGCCTAGAGACGTGACTAATAAACAGAGGATATGTTATTTTAGTGCCAAGAATGTCTACATTGTTTATTCTGTACTCTATTTTGAAATTGGCATCTTTTTTAATTTGCATGAAATTGGCCAAATTGGCAATTTCTGACCACTTTATTGGGTAGCTCAAATCGGTAAATGGGCGGTTTCGTGTGCTCAATTGATAGAAAAATGGAGTCTAAAGAAATAGCTACGAGTTTAGTCAACTGGAACAACAGAATTTGCCAAAAACAGGGCTCAAATTCTGTGAAATCGCCGATGTGTATATGTCGCTGAGACCGCTAACTTCGCAGGAGCATAATTCCACGAGTTTTCTACCAAATTTTGTACTTTTGGTGTCATTACCATCAGGAAAAGATTCTCTATCATTTCATAAGAAATAAGGAAAAATAATTTTTTTTTCCAAAAATTTTGCGACATAGAATGACAGTTTCAGAAAGGGGCTTGCAACAGTCAAAGGGTTAAATGATTGTTTCATGTCCTACAATACAAAAGCATGAGATTATACATTGATCCAAATGGTGTACTGCCATTATATAATAGTGAAGAAAAGATATAGGTTGCAAAACAAACTTTCATTGGAGCAATGTTTAGCTGTGTAGAGCTTTAAGTACACCTGAAAACATGACTATCCCCACTTCCCAGCCCCCCTCTTTGCACCCCTACTCTCTTTCCACGGATCTACACCTCCTAGCCCGCCACCTCACCTCCCACAAATAAATGTGAAACACCAAGGAGTGGAAAACTTCATTCAGAGCAAGTTGGAAAAGAACAAAACATGGGTACATAACAAAGAAAAGGGAAAGGGAGGGAGAGCAGGAACAAATGATAATGAAAAAAGGGAAGAATAACACATAGATGAAAGAGAACAAGAGTTGCTTATGTCTCACCCTAACTTTCTCCTCCCTTAGTTTATACACTTTCACCTCTTACTTCTTGTTGCCATTTTCCTTTTGTCCCATCTACCTCTTACACTTAACTGTAGCTACAATTAAATAATGATCTGACATATCAGTTGCCCCTCTATAAACGTGTACATCCTGGAGCCTACCCATCAACCTTTTATCCACCAATACATAATCTAACAAACTACTTTCATTACATGCTACATCATACCTTCTATATTTATTTATCCTCTTTTTCATAAAATATGTATTTATTACCAAACCTCTTTCTACACATAGCTCAATTAAAGGCTTCATTTTCATTTTCATTGGCATCCCAAATTTACCTACCACTCCCTCCACAACATTTTACCCACTTTAGCATTGAAATCCCCAACCGTAAGTACTCTCACAATTGGTTCAAAACTCCCCATGCATTCACTCAACATTTCCCTCTCTCTCTCCTCTACACTTCTCTCTTCTCCAGGTGCATAAATGCTTACTATAACCCACTTTTCATATCCAACCCTTATTTTACTCCACATAATCCTTGAATTTATACATTTATATTCCCTCTTTTCCTGCCATAACTTATCCTTCAACATTATTGCTACTCCTCCTTTAGCTCTAACTATTTGAAACTCCTGACCTAATCACGTTTATTTCTCCCCAGTGAAACTCTCCCACCCCCTTCAGCTTTGTTTCACTTGGTGCCAGGACACCCAGCTTCTTCTCATTAATAACATCCACAATCATCTCTTTCTTATCATTCACACAACACTGACGGTTTTCTTCTTTTTCCTTTTAGTAGGCTATACAGGAAAAGGGGTTACTAGCCCACTGTTCCCGGCATTTTAGTCGACTTTTACAACACACACGGCTTATGGAGGAAAGATACTTATTCCACTTCCCCATGGACATGAAAGGAAGAGCAATAAGAACAAGAATTTTTTTTTTAACAAGTTGGCCATCTCCCACCGAGGCAGGGTGACCCAAAAAGAAAATACTTTTATCATTATTCAACCCTTTCACCTCACTCACACAATCATTGCTTTTGCAGAGGAGCTTAGAATACAACAGTTTAGAAGCACATACGTATAAAGATACACAACATATTCCTCCAAACTGCCAATATCCCAAACCCCTCCTTTAACCCTTTGACTGTCACAAGCCCCTTTCAAGTTTGGGAGTACGTTTGTGTATTTATGAGACACTGAAGTTGAAAGAATACAAAATAAAATGCAGTATAATACCTGTGTGAATAGTAGAAGCCTATTTCTTCAAAGAGTATGCAGACAATTAACTCAAACAGAACCCAATGAAACGTTGGTAGTTGAGGCGACTGGTCAAATCCTCGCAAGCACATCAAGTAGTAACAGAGCATAGAAAAAGGAATGCTGATAACAGTCTGATTGAAGTTCACCCACAGGATACACTGTCAGGAAAACAAAATTATTAAAGAGGTATTCTTCCAAAAAATATTTGTTTGAAATGCCTAATGAGAGATTAACAAGATATTACAATCACAGTATATGATTTCCAATTTAAGAAATTCAGATTCAATCTATAAAAGCTGTTATAAGGATCCTACAATGGAAAGACTCAGCAAAGTATAAGTGATTAGTTTTCTTAATTAAATGAAGTCCACTTTGCATGCCAAATCCCACTAATATATGCCAGATGTTTTCCCTATGTGTAGCTGTTAGCCTACGAATGGGGCCACTGTTGTTAGGGAACAGCCTAGTCTCACCCTTGATGCAAGAGCCTCCTACCCATGCTGACAGCTGACTGTACACATCCCATACCTGACTCAGTTGTACAATATAAAACTGATTTTTGATCCTTTCATCACCTTACCATGTATCTGAATATTAACCATGGCATCCAATACGGATACTAGTGATGCCAAGAAGACATGAAAGTACAATTTTTTTTTCAAAACTTGCCTTCACTCACTCCTGTCTAACATCTCTCAAACATCTGATGGATAGCTAAGCCTCTCGCATACAAAACTGCCTCCCTCCTACCTTCCTAAGATGATCCCCATTCCTCCTTTCCTCCATTACAGATTTATAGACCCTCCAAGTCATCCTATTTTGTTCCATCCTCTGAATGTCCAAACCACCTCGACAACCTTTCCTCAGCTTTCTGAATAATGTTTTTTGTAACCCCCACTTTTCCTAATCTCCAAATTACAAAATTATGTACAGAATTTTGTATCTTGATAGAAGATAAGAGCCTTACTAGTCATCTCTGCCAGCTGCCAGAACAATGACCTAAGCAGCCATATCTTTCAGAGTAAAACTGTGACCTAACCATTCTGGTATATGTAAATCAACATTAAAAATATTCCAAAACATGAGAACTTACCACAGTTTCAGAGCCTAATGTCAATAAACACACATATGGTGCCCCTAACAATCTGTTTACCTCTCAAATATGTATTGAAATAAGTTCCAAGGCCTAGAAATGTGTACGTATTTATAATTATTTATTTGCAGCTACAGGAGAGAAGCTATGTTCATGGTGTTCCTGTTTTAGTATTAAATTTATTAGCATGTTATTTAAATTCCCAATCACTGTAGTGCTGAACTACCTTCTCTTAACTCTTCCATTGATCTACCAATAACTCTACCATTGATCTACCAGCTTATTAATGGTGTTGAGTAATCCTCCTTATCTATCGCTTCATATCATTTTATAATCTTGCATGGTCATCCTGTCTTATCAGTCAACGAGGGCATATTTAATATTTTCAGCCTTTTATCATAGTTTTTTTATCTCGTCTTTGGACAATTTAGCCGACATCTGCATATTTTAATTTTGGTCTAACATATACTGAATAGAGTATAAGCATTTCTCTTATCAATACTGTATGCATGTGTACACAATATTCAACTAAGACAATCAACAATAATACCTTAATAAGCTTTTGAAGTTCAACAGGTTCATTGGTTCCAGGTTGGATTTTATAGCGCTTTATAAATGCAGGTTTATTAAACAAATCCATGAGTGTGTAAACTGACCCAACTGACCAATACACAATATACGACACAATAGTGGTTCCTGAAAAGATACATATGATATTAATAAACATTATATAAATACCTTAGATATAAATGCTAACTTAAATTCTTCACATTACTAATGCATGTTTTTAGAGTTTAAATAACTGCCATCATACAAATTAAAAAAAAAATTATCAAAGAGCTGAAACAGTTTCATTTCTCTTGCAATAGATAAAAATACTATATATCCACAATACTGATACAGCAAGGAAAAAAAATCATACCATAAGTCATTAAGACATAAGAGTCATCTCCAAATGAATGCAGGATCTTATCCCACTGGTGCTGCCAAAAGTTTCCTGAGGCTCCCCAAAAATGCTGCAAATGGCTGAAAGGGCAAACTAAGTCTTAATGCACAATCAGCATCACTGCAAAATAAATGTTAACATTGGTGATAGAAAAAAAATGCAAAAAATTAATTTACAATTAATACTGTATTTTTAAATAATTGCAAAAAGTATTTAACCTGTAAACTAAGACTTCTGGAAATCACTACCACAACTTCATTTTTCACATTAGAACTTGTTAAATAGCACAATATAAATAAGAAAACATTACTAATTTACCATGAATAAAGGTGAAGAAATTAAATTTATGGTCATGCACATGAAAGAAATCTTGCATAGCAATCAAACTTCTATTATAATAAACAGTGTACATATTACCATGATTATTATTTCAATGAAGTTTGGTAAAATTTTATGCAACAAACTTAATGATCTTTACTAATCCTGCAAAACATGGCATCTCATTAAGACATGCACTGTTACAATTCTAGAAGGATCCAAACATGTTTCTGCTTCTTTTGCACAAATTTTATTTACATACATTTTATTTACCTTCTTCAGCAAAGCATAGTATATTTAATGTAAAAATCATAATTGGTATTACTGTCACTGTTGTCTGAAATACAATCATATACATATAGTGTTTTCCAACCAAAATTTAACAGCCACTTGCCATGACACTCAATTTTTTTTTTTAACCAAATGTTCCTGGTTGGACATGAAGTACACTTAAATTTTTTGATGTATGCCAAAGATCAAACATGTTCACCTAAAGTAAATTGTGTAACATCTCACTTAAATTATTAAGCCCACAAAAAAATAACATTTTGCACCCTGTTCCCTACATTTTTTTTTTAATACATTGGCCATCACTCGCTATCACTATCTTGCCAACAGTGTGCTGACATCACATCTCTGATGCCCCTCCAAACTGCAATATCCCCACCCCTCCATCAGAGTGTGGGCATGAAAAAATAATGTACTGTGCTATGTCAGTAATGTGCTGTACATAAGGGTATGGAATCTAGTACTGTATAGCCTGCCAATTCCAAGATGTTAAGGGCATAAGAAATTAATTGCATTACTCTAATTTTATCTGTATAATGTAACAATTTTTGTCATCTCAACATACAGCTGTATATAAAAACCTACTAGGTGAGACTGTTTCTTAAAGCTGCAAAGATGATTGTAGTAGAGCCAAGGATAAAGAGGGCCTTCTTCAAAGTTGACAGTAAATCTGCTGCAGCATGGGATGGCTGCCGAGGCACCATCCCTTGGTCCCCCTGGTAAGGAGGCTCTGTGTCTGCCATGATTTCTGAGGAAACCATACATGAATTATAAATCTTGAGTTATTCTACTTTCACTATTAATAACAGCTGCAGTACCTTGTGTGTTTCTTTTATTACTACACTATTTCCCTCTTCAAGCTTCACTTTCAACATCCCACTTTAACTTGTGTTCCTTATTGTTCTTTCCATCTCATTCAAACCCTGTGAAGCCAAATTCTATTCAGTAATATAATTTATGTACAATAAGACAGTAGGACTGCAAAAAGGTTTTTGTTCTGTAGTATTAATGTACTGTACAGTATACACAGTGTTATCACTGAATTACTGTATTGTAATTTAACAGGAGTGAGTGTCAAGGTAATTAAAATTATGGTACATTCAGTGACAAGGCTGAACACAAATATATTCACCATTGAATTAAGAAGAGATATTTTTCTTCTGAAACCTAATCTATCAAAATATATGAAGGAGAAATTTTGGTTCAAATATTTTCCTACAATATATTTTGGTCTCTTACAGTTTAAGAGCTAGTAATATTTTAAAACCAGTCCTGAACACTTACAGGCTTAATGCTAAAAACCATAATGGGAATTTTTTTTTTCTGCCAAACTCAGTGTTCTGACACTATTAGAGAGGAGGGCTGAGGGGTTCTGCCCTAACTACAACATTCAGGACAAAGTCTTAAAGTTTGGACAAGACATCATATATTTTTTTTAACTGTTTTAAACATCAAGGTTGTACAGTATACATAACTAACTTATGACAATCTGAAAAAATCAGGAGCAAAATAATTAAATGTACGTAATGTTTTTTTGTAATCACCTTCATTCTATTTATACATGTAAAACCAGTGTGTGTGTGTAATAAATAAATAAATAAATAAATAAATAAATAAATAAATAAAAAAAAAATTATAATTATTAATAATAATAATAATAATAATAATAATAATAATAATAATAATATTATATATATTATATATATTATATATATTATATATATTATATATATATATACGTATATATATATATATATATATATATATTATTTTTTTTTTACAGTGGACCCTCGAATTTAGTAGTGCCTTTTCTGTATGCAAAACTATTTTTATTATCTATAAAATGTATGTTTTGTTAATATTTCCCATAAGAAATAATGTAAATCCAATTAAACCATTCCAGACACCCAAAAATATTGACAAAAAATACATTTTATAGATAATAAAAATAGTTTTGCATACAGAAACGGCACTACTAAATTCGAGGGTCCACGGTGGGGTGGCCCAAAAGGAAAAACGAAAGTTTCTCCTTTTAAATTTAGTAATATATACATAAGAGGTTACTAGCCCCTTGCTCCCGGCATTTTAGTTGCCTCTTACTACACGCATGGCTTATGGAGGAAGAATTGTTCCACTCCCCCATGGATTATAATATATTATATATATATATTATATAATATATATATATATATATATATATATATATATATATATATATATATATATATATATATATATATATATATATATATATATATACACACACACGCGCGCGCACACACATGCACGCACGCGCGCGCACACACACACACACACACACACACACACACACACACACACACACGAAGCATTAAACTACAGACCAGTGTCACCGACATGTATAGTATGCAAAATCATGGAGAAGATTATCAGGAGAAGAGTGGTGGAACACCTAGAAAGGAACGATCTCATCAACAGCAGCCAACATGGTTTCAGGGACGGGAAATCCTGTGTCGCAAACCTACTGGAGTTCTATGACATGGTGACAGCAGTAAGACAAGAGAGAGAGGGGTGGGTGGTTTGCATTTTCTTGGACTGCAAGAAGGCATTTGACACAGTTCCACACAAGAGATTGGTGCAAAAACTGGAGGACCAAGCAGGGATAACAGGGAAGGCACTACAATGGATCAGGGAATACTTGTCAGGAAGACAGCAGCGAGTCATGGTACGTGGCGAGGTGTCAGAGTGGGCACCTGTGACCAGCGGGGTCCCGCAGGGGTCAGTCCTAGGACCAGTGCTGTTTCTGGTATTTGTGAACGACATGACGGAAGGAATAGACTCTGAGGTGTCCCTGTTTGCAGATGACGTGAAGTTGATGAGAAGAATTCACTCGATCGAAGACCAGGCAGAACTACAAAGGGATCTGGACAGGCTGCAGACCTGGTCCAGCAATTGGCTCCTGGAGTTCAATCCCACCAAGTGCAAAGTCATGAAGATTGGGGAAGGGCAAAGAAGGCCGCAGACGGAGTACAGTCTAGGGGGTCAGAGACTACAAACCTCACTCAAGGAAAAAGATCTTGGGGTGAATACAGTGGACCCCCGCATAACGATGGCATCGCATATCGATTTTTCCGCATAACGATTACTTTTATCGCAAAATTTTTGCCGCGCATACCGATTAAAAACCCGCATACCGATTTTCGTCCGAGACGCGTCCAATGTGCCCTCAGCCAGCCTCACATGTGCCGCTCCGTCCCATTGTTTACCAGCCAGCCTCCGCGGTAACATCCAAGCATACACTCGGAATATTTCGTATTATTACAGTATTTTCGGTGCTGTTTCTGGAAAATAAGTGACCATGGGCCCCAAGAAAGCTTCTAGTGCCAACCTGTGGTAAAAAGGGTGAGAATTAGTATGGAAATTAAGAAAGATTTTGAAGGGTTTGGGGCTAACCCTGAGAAGCCTATGCCAGTTGTGGAATCTATTGTGCCTACTTCAAAGATTAAGGAAATGTGCAGAGTGGGTTGAACTGCAAACCTTTATAGATGAAAATCACCCTGACACAGCTGTTGCAAGCCGTGCTTGTGACTATTTCAATGACAATGTTATGGCCCATTTTAGGAAAGTCTTGAAGGAACGGGAGGGTTACAGAGCTCTATGGGACAGATTTGTGTGCGACAGGGTCCAGTGCTCTCAAGCTGGTCCTAGTGGCATTAAAAGAAGAAGGGAAGTACCAGAAAAGGACTTGCTACTCAAGTCCTAATGGAAGGGGATTCCTTCTAAACAGTAAGAGATAATGCTCTCCGCCTCCTCCCATCCCATCAATCATCACAGATCTTCATAAAAGTAAGTGTCATGTAATTGTGCATGCCTTTTTCAGTTTGTGTGTATTAAAATTAACATTTCATGTGGTAAAAAATT